GGCTGGGAGGGAGTATAGAAGTAGAGTTAATAGCATTGATTAAAGGGGGGAGTAGGATACATTAAAATAATAATAGATTATTTATATGTATAACAGTTAATTATATTGATATAATTTGAATTGTATAAGTACGATTTTGTTTTGATTAATTGATGGCCTTGCCACCATGTTAAATAAAAACCAATAAAAATTTTGTTTTTAAAAAAAAAAAAAAACAATGGTTCTCAACCTTTTTAATGCCGCGACCCCAACTGGTCGTAAGTCAAGGACTAAACCGGTCGTAAGTCGAGGACTAAACCGATCGTAAGTCGAGGACTAAACCAGTCGTAAGTCGAGGACTACCCAACCGGTCGTAAGTCGAGGACTTTCCCTGCCCGGGAGCGCTGCACATGCGTGGTTCCGCCCCCTGCGCCGGCCGAGGCGTAGCTGGCAAGCGGCAGAGACGGAGCAGGCCGACCACCAGCTGGCCCAGCCCAAGGGAGGTAAGGCACCTGCCGGAAAAGGGGGGAAAAATGGCTGACAGCCTTGCTTGGCGACCCCCGTGAAATGGTCGATCGACCCCAAATGCAGTCGTGACCCATAGGTTGAGAACCGCTGCTCTATAAGATCTGTTTTAGAGAAAAACAATTACTTCCTCTGATACATATTTTAATGTATTTTAGTCAAGTTACTAATTTCCTTTTGGATTCATTAAGATGGATGGTTGATTTTTTTTCTTGAAATAATCTCTATGCCAAAGACTTTATATGCCAAGCTGCGAAAATATAGTGGCAAGATTAGTGTGAAGGCAGCCATCTACAGTATCTGTGAAAAGAAGAGAAGCTGCCTGCTTATAGGAAAAGACAAGGGAGCATAACTTGCAGAGCAAACCCAGAGGGATTATTCACTCTAATCCACAACATCAATGAAGTGCATGGAACTCATAACTGAAGAATGGGGGAAAAAGACCAGTTATAAGACTTGAATCAGCAGATACAGAAAGTTGCATTTAAGTTGCCCTCATGGACTCATTGCCGAGCTTTGAACATAAAGTACAGGTAGTCCTCAAGTTAACAACCATTCGTTTAGTGACTGAAGTTATAACAGCACTGAAAAAAGTGACTTATGACCATTTTTCACACTTATGACTGTTGCATCATCCCCATGATCATGTGATCAAAATTCGGATGCTTGGCATGTATTTATGACGGTTGCAGTGTCCCGGGATCACCTGATCACCTTAAAATTAACCTTATGAGCAAGGTCAATGGGGAAGCCAGATTCACTTAATAACTGGAGTGATTCACTTAACACTTTGTGGCAAGAAAGTAAAATGGGGCAAAACGCACTTAACAACTGCCTTAGCAATTTATCAATTTTGGGCTCGTTGTGGTCATAAAAGTCAAAACCAGTCAGGTTATTTTACTTGCTGCAGTTAATGGGTGTTTTTCAAGTTGTATATAAACTACATAGCAGCGGATTCAAGTCAAGGATTGCCTGTCCTGCTGCTCTTCACTTCTCTTGTGGAGGGAAGGCTTGTGGCGAGGGTGAAAAGGGGCTCTTAAATTCACAGATATTTATTCTTGAATATCTTATTTTAGGAATGAATCAAGAATTCAATGGGGGTTTCTTACATATAGCATCAGACAATCTCTGCTTGAATTCTTGCAAGGAGAATTAACTATAGGCAATTGCATCAAGAGACCTTGTCTTCCCATTTCCTAAAGTCTTTACTGACTGTTAGAATATATATAAGACTCTATCTTAGAGAAAGGGGATGAAACAGCTGGTGGAACATTCTGTGAAAGATGCGTGAGTTGGAATGCTTTGGCTATTTCAGTTGGGTAACACAGGCCAATCTTTTCTACCGTTGTGGAACAAATGACATGTCATTAAAGGTTATGAACTTTGTAGTTAACTGAATGATCCCTGCTAACTAAATATATTTCTGGCTTCTATTTCTTTCCCAATATGATCCTCTTCCCCCGGTAATTAGGACTTCAGATTTTTTCAATTGGAGGGCTGACATCAATCAGTTTTGAGCCTCATAGTAAAATTCCCAGGGAATTTGACCTGGGAGAATAGAAACTCCTCAATACAATCAATATACGTAACCATAGTTATTTCTATTCTTGGTTTATTTTGCTTCAGACGTGATAGTTATTGAAAATATCACATATATACAAATGTGTAAGTGTGTGTGTATACTTGGCTAATCTCCGTTTATGTATGCAGTATATATAAATGCAGACCACATATTAGACTTCTGCTTTATTTGGGCTCCTGATTTGCTATATTTATTGTCCAGAAATGTTTGGATAAATTATTCTTTCTATCCATCACGTACAGTCTCAAAGGCAGTATCAATGAGTAAATTTAATACCTTCATTTTAAAAGAGAGATAGAAAAATCCTCAAAAGGTAAAAATAGAGATTTGCAAGTATGAAAAATGATTATGATAAATGATTAGAAAGTGTGCACCATTTCTATATAAGTGCATCATAATTAACACGTGATTGGATTTGCATTTCTTACTGCCATTGGCAATAAGAAAGAATGAAACTTGTCTTTGACTTTCTGTTATTATCTAGTATATTTTAACATTCTATGCTTTTCTGCTCATATATTTGTTTTCTGCTTTCCTTGTATTTTTCCTTCTACTAGGCTTCTTCTGCTCCAGGATCCTCCGTCTCATTATGTGTGCTCCTTCCTCCATTTCATCCACTTTTTGAGTCCCAGAGTCCTCCCTATAGTTCCTATTTCCCTTCTTTTCTTCCTCCATTTCCCTTCTCTCTCCTTTCCATTTCTCCATCTGCCTCCCCTCCAATTATCGTTCTCCCCTCAGTCTTACTTCCTCCATCTGTTCCATCTCATTTCTTTCATTTGCTTCCTCCATTTCCCCCTTATCTTCATTCGCCTTCAATTTTTTTCCCTTCACCCTTCCTACAGCTGTCCCCCACAGAACTGGTCAGTTCTCCAAATGCTTTGCCATCTCTCCCAAAATATGTAGTTCCCCCTATCTCATCTCCTGTCCTTCAACCATCTTCTCCTTCAGCCACGGATACTTCTTTGGCCTCACAAAATCCTCCAGAATCCAAACCAAAATATGGTCATGACTTCAGTGCTTATCATTCCCATAACCCTTTCTTCCTCCCCGTACTTCCACCTATCCAGTCTCAGAGGAGGTATCAAGCCCGGCAGAAGAATACTGACAGTGTTAAATATCCCTGAAGACAGAAGATGCTTTGGGTTTCTTCAGTGCCTCTGGCCCATAAATAAAAGCCACTTTTCTACGGTAGACCAGATTCAAATGTTTGTGGTTGTAATGCTTCCCAAATGTACAGTGAAAATGACTGACGACTTAGGAGAAAGTTCTTCAGGAATCACTGCTAATTGTATTTTAAGCACCATGGAGTGAAGAAAAAGAACTAAGACATTGTGTAATTATGGATTTTATGTATTGTCTGCCCACATAATATTATTATTTTCCTTAATGTTTGTAATAGGTATATCACACACACTCTTTGAAGCAGGAATATATGCTATAATTTTTTGTCTGGTGCAATATAGTTCTTGCAAATCTATATCAAGCATAACATAAACTTTTTACCAGGGATTAAAGGTACCCAGCTGTATGGGAAAGTTCATCAGTGCCAATGGATTTGGCTTCAAGGTCATTTATAATGTAAATATACTGTATAATAGGCAAAAAAAATATGAGGCTGTCTCATTTTTTGTAATGGAGAGTGCTAGCTAGCCCATCCCTAGAAGTGCAGTTTGCAAGGCTCCTTACTTCAGATATTGAAATATGACTTACAAATGAACTTAGAACAAATAAAAATTCATTTGAAATGTGGCCTACATCTTACTCTAAAATTAAACCATCATTCCCCAACTTATGTGTTGTATTTAAATTCATTTCAAAAGCTTGCTTTGTCATGGTAACTTCTTTTTCAGAATAAGAAGTTAAGCTTTGCCTTATTAGTATCAGAACTATGGCATATATGAAGGGAAAGATTAAACACTTCCTTCACATTTATTTATCTGCTGAAAATACCCCTATTCTAAACAAAGACATATATTTTGTTTTTGTTTGAAACCATTTTCTGCAGTGTGGCAGAAATGACAGGAAGAAGGGATGGAGAGGAAATGGTTAACCTCCCTCCCTCCCTCCCTCCCTCCCTGTTGGTTGTAATGCACATTAAAATCCATGAAGCTCCTTTTTCAGGAGGGGAAAGGTCTCTAGTGATTAAAATAAAGCCCTCTAAAAATATGCTTTGAGGAAAGTGTAATTTGGTCCTTACTGTCTTGAATAACTAAAATTTCTTCTAAAAAGGTCCATTAATTTATAGGTAAAGGGCAATTGCCGGCTCAAAATGTCAACCTCGGTAATGCTGAAAAAGTGTTGGGGCTTCATTTAATACAGTTTGTATAGTAACTGAAATACTTGGTTTTTGTATTGGCCTGAATGAATTCATTTTCATATAAAGTGGATAAAAATATCCTGATTCGGTGGTGTTGATTCACATGGGTGATAAAAATAAACTCATTTTATTGTAAGAAGATGTTACGAAAATTGGGACTATAAGAGTAATTTGTTTAAGATATTTGTATTAGATGTTATTTAAGCTATCAAACAGGAAATATTAACTGTCTACTCTGAAGTAATAATATGTGATGGCCATAGGTTCACCGAGTGCTCTTTCTGCTCACTCAGGGAGGTGCATTTTTAGAAAGTTATAGTCCGTCATCTTACGATCCTTTCTTCCTGAAGACGTCTCCAGATTTGTGGAAGGTGAGAGAGATTGTGCGCTCCCATTTTCCTGATGAGCTCCTATTGACTTTCTTAGACTTCTGTGAAAGACGGGTTTGGGTTAGAGATTTTAAAAGAAGAGGTAAAAAATACCTCACAGGTATTTGTGGGTAGTTGTGGGATTGGCTTCCTGGCTATTGAAACTTAAATAAAGACACCTCATGGCAGAGCTGGCCTTTCCTTTCCTGTGAGGATTCTCACCTTTCCCCCTTCCCAGGTTTAGAGCATGTGCAGTTTTTGTAGTTTCCAGTTTCTAGCTGCTTAAATAGAATGGACTTGTAATTTCTAAGAACATAGGAGGGAACAACCATGAAGACGAAAGTATTATACACATTCGAAATGGATATTGCTTATAACTGCTGGAGCATAATTTACATAGTCTTACAGAGTAATTAGAGAATAACACATCGCACAACTAGTTTCATCTTGTTTGCCTTTCTTTGTGTAAGTCTTTTAAATGATGGTGAAAATAAAGTGATAAAATATTCAAGGTAATGCTCACATCATACATAAAAGATTAATTGGTGTAGTTACTCCTATATTATAGATTAGGGAGTGAAATTAGAAAATGTTGGCTTGCTGAATGCTACCCAAGATGTTTCTGGTTGAGCTGAAGATAGAGCAGTCAGTCAGAGGGTTTATCTAGTACCTGACTCGGCTGCATTGGTCAGAAACCAGATCTTTTTCAGGGAGCCCTTTATTTGGCAGTGCACAAGAAAAAAGAAGGGGCCAGCTCTACCTTCAACCTTAATCCTTACTTGGCATTTGGGTCTATCTAAAAATGATCCAAAGTTGAATTGTGGGATGGAGGAATTGGCTATGCCCAAGAATAGGAGGACAGAAATTCAGTATCTAAACTTCACCAGTCGTGAACCAAGTAGGTTTGATAACTTTTTGCAGAGCGACATGACTGCACTTTTCTTTCAAGGTTCAGTGTTCAAGCTTCTAAATGCTCCTTGATGTATATAGCAACTGAACTACAGTTAGTTCTCAACTTACAACAGTTCATTTAGTGATCATTGGAAGTTACAATGGTACTGAAAAAAGGGACTTATGACCGTTTTTCACTCGACCACTGCAGCATCCCCATGGTCATGTGATCAAAATTCAGACACTTGGCAACTGACTCGTTGCAGTGTCCCAGGATCACGTGATCACCATTTGCGACCTTCTGACAAGCAAAGTCAAGAAGCCAGATTCACTTTACAACTGTTGTTAGTAACTTAACAACTGCAGTGATGCACTTAATAACTGTGGAAAGAAAGCTTGTAAAGCTTGTAAAATAGAGCAAAACTCACTTAACAACCATCTTAGCAACAGAAAGTTTGGGCTCAATTGTCATAAATCAAGGACTATTTGTATAGGTCTGACTAATTTGATGTCATGAAGTATTGAAATATTAATACTAGCTGTTTTCTTTTCTCCCTCTAGGCATCCGTTCCTCCTTTACATGACCCCTTGTTAAAGGAAGTAGAAGGAAGATACATTGAAGCCAGCATTATGCAGCAATGTGAAACAGGTTCTGTAATATTTCTGTTTGCATCTGATACTCTTCAGGTTTAATGTCTCTTTAGAGACCAGGTTTTGAATTATTCTTTCAACTTTCCCTTTTGCATTAATCTTAAAATAGTATGACCAATTTGAAAATATTGGAAACCATTTCCACGATGTGATATATACAGCAAATGATATGTCTGTAACTTGGGGTTGGGGGGAAGATTGGATTTAGCTGAATACTATACAGGTTTTGTTTTTTCATCAGAAAGTTTGCCTAATGAGGAGAAAAAAACCTTTTTTCTCTATATGCATTACAATTTTCCACAGGAAAAGTATATTCCTCTAAAGATGTTCATGAACTACATAAGACTGAGTTACCACCACTTCCTTTGGGTCGGCAACTTATGAACCCCATAGAGTGGCTGAAAATCCCATTCCAGTATATGGAAAGTGATGTCCGTCAAAAAAGCCGGTAAAGTTTGAGAAGCCTTTACATTTTAAAATTCATTCTCTGTTGAATAGCATCAAATATAAAAGTTGATTATGAAGGGTATAATGATGACATTCTGTGAACTGTTTGGAACACAAACTTTACCATTTTGTTGTATAAATGACCATATATTTCTAAATTACCTGTAATTAGCACTAGCCAAATTTGTAATTAACAAAATATAGCCTGTAATCTTCTTTTGCAGAGAATATTAATAGAAACCACATTGCAAAACCACCGAAGCCATTCTACCCTTTCTTGAGGTTATGGTTGATTCCTAGCTGCTGTAATAATTCATTTGGCCCGCTGTTTTGTCTAATTTATTCTCCCCCCCCCAGTTCTATATTTTCTCTATTATTCTTTTTTATTGAAACTCCTATTTAGAATTCCCACTACTCAGTTTTGATTCACCCCAGTTTTTTCCCCTTAACTCTCAATTCATCTATTGAGTTTGCATTTATTCCTACAAAAAGAATCTTCATCAAAGTTGAAATAAGTGTGCATGACTAGTGAGGTCTGTAGTGGAACTGAACCTTTGCTAGTTCCAGTTTGGTAACATGGTAGCCATTAGATTACAATAGGCAGTTTTCCTTTATTCCATTACTTCAGAAAAAAAGCATTCTCATTTTCCATAGCTGCTGTTTCTTCTTAAACTGTTATATTTCTAATTTAAATAGTCTCTGAGATCCTTCAGTATAAGTCATTTGTTTTGCTCATTGAAGGGCAGTTTACTACAGGGCTCAATTTTGTGGAACTGTAGTTGAGAATAATAGAATCTCTTCTTGTGATGAGGCTCAGTTCTCGTTCTTCCTAATGTTGCTTCCGGTTTCATTTTGTCAGAACAGAATGTAGTTTTTTGCAATAACTTGTATATCCACATGTCTACAGCTAGCCACAATGCTGGCAAGATGACATTTGCTCTTTTATACTTGTACTTCACAGTGCAAGGTCAAAAGGGATTGGTGATTGTATTGTATGCGTATTTGGTTTTTTTTATATATATCTCCCCCCCACTCCCCACGGATGGTCATATGCCTGTTTGGTTCCTTCTAGGATTATATGACATATATCCCATTTGCCAGAAAAACAATTATATGAAACTATAGAGGGAGGGGAAAAGTTATTCAAGCCAAGATAAAGTGGTTTCTTGGAGGAGGAATATAATGAGCCATTGGTGAAAATACTAAAAATCTTTATAGTGTTGCACAGAATAGAACTGAGTATTGTGCAGGACAGAATGCCAGATAATGACATTAGTAATACAATGAGTTGATTAAAAATCCCAGGATGTTTTTTCTAGATATCAATACTAAACAGTAACCACATGTATAAGGTTTGTAAACCAGACAAATGCCTTCTTTTCATTAGTCACAGATTAATCCTTTTGTCTAATCTATTTTCACATAAAAGAGTATAAACATTATTAGTTTTATCTTGGAAGAAGTCTGTTGGGACAGACATCTGTAGCTGGTTTTTCCACAGTTAGGCAATGTATTGTTTGGCATAGAGAACTCTTTGATAGAGTGTTTCAGAAGGGATCAAAATATATTCTCTGAAAAGTTACATGATGCTATATTTTGAGGCACAAATTGTAGATTGTGATGAATATCCACTATGGGCAAATAGCTGTTTTTTTATTACTTTGAAGATGGTTAGAGGCAGTTCAAAATGTACCTCTTTTTATTTTATTTTTTCAATTTGTATATCTGCCACCTCGTATTTGTGACTTTGGGCAGTTCATAGTTAAAAAACAATAAATACAGTAACACAACCAATAAACAAACCCAGGAAAACAGTAAAAACACAGTAGCTAAATAAATACCTAACTGAAACCAACATTCATAAAAAAAGCAGGCAAGTGCAAGTCTTGGATCAATAAGCAAGCTCCAAACCTTAACCAGAAGCTCAGGATCATTGAGACAAGCCCGTCTTTAGAGCCTTTCACATGGCAAGCCAGATCCACCACCAGGGAATGACATTCCCAAGGGACAGGTGCTGGGCCAGAAAAGTTGAGACTGTTTCATGGACAGGGCTCTTTTAACACAGGCTTTCTGCTGGACCTGATGGGACGGGTAGAGGTAAGTAGAGAGAGGCTTCTCTATACAGAGGAAAACCATTCTTACGCTCTCACTTGAGGCTTCCCCTGATCTGTGTTCAAGTATGCACAAAGATTCATGATGTATCGGGCTGAGATTCTGTTCTCCAATTTAAAACTGATTGAGTCATACTCTTCTTTAATCCTTTAATTTTCACTTTCAGTGGTTCAGGACTAGGCTGTGTGGGATAGTTAGTGACTTGTAGAAAGATAATCTCTTCTGTGAAGTAGAATTCAGCGATAACACTCCTAGGAATCCTTCAGTAAGACCCACCTTCATAAGAATTACAAATGGAATGATGATGAATGCAATTGACATTCTAACACATCACTAACCATCTCTTTTCCAATGCATTTAGCAAAATAACTAAATTTTCTTTTTACTGTTTTTAGCATTAGTTTTCCCCTTCCTTCCTTATTAAAGGTCAGTTTTAGAATAAAAGAAAATCAACACACATCCCCCCCCCCACATCTGATCCATTTAAAATACAATGGCTTTGGTTAAACAGTAAACATTCACAGTCTGATCTATATACTGTATTTTGGAGGAACAATGGAATTAGGTAGGCAATATTACAGTAATTAGATCCAACAGAGACCTTGAAATCTCAGTTCCAGAAAACAAAAGGAATTGGCAGGAGCAAATCCTTATAATTGATCTCTAAGGAAGTGTGTGGTTCCTGTTCTTATTCTCCTTCTTTTTTGTAGGAAGGCACATATGAGAGCTAGGAAAGGTAAAGAGCAAGAGAAAGCAAGAAAGAAGGAAATAAACTTTCTCCCTAGGGGCTCAACAACCAGGAAAGCCAGGAACCTGCTCTCCGGTTCAAAACAGGAAATGATCTGGGTCTAGCCCCAGGCCTTCCGCCAACATTGTAACAGTCTGCCTTTTAAAGCCAAGGGGAAGAGACTTCCCACTGAAGATGATTTGTCTTCTCCCTCACAGAATAATTCCATGTTGTTCATTTACTGTGCATTTTATATTGTCCGCAGCTCCACCATTATCAACAGTAACAAGGTTTGGTTTTATGTATTACTGAAATCGAAAGGTGATGTTTGAAAATTGGCCACCTTTTTGAGTGTCAAGCAGCATCAATTAGCACAGCATACAACTGGTTCAACAGAGGTAATTCACTGGTGCTGAGTAATAACGGGCAGCATTAACCATCCTAATTTCATTCTGTTAAAAGGCAAAAAATGAGCACAACTAGAAACCTGAGTACTATGGATTTCAAGAGCTGGGGTGACTCGGCCTGGCCTCCACTGAAGAAGAGATGCCCCTCTGTCAGGAAATCAGAGTTCATCCAAATGGCCAGTCTTTTGTCAAAGCAGATATGTACTGGCTCATCAGTTTGGAAACCAAAAATAAAATCTGCTTTCTATTGATCTTTCTTTGAAACTGATTCCTCGTAAAGGGATAATGCCAAAATTTGGTCCATAAAAGTGCGATCCAATTACTTAAAAGGAATGATTAGAAGCTTATTTTCGCATGAGGTACTACTGAGAATAGTAAAACATAGGCTACAGGGATTTTACACTAAATGCTGCATAAAATTGTGATTGCATATTACTGCTTTCAAAAGTATTGCTAAGCAGCTGCTTCATATTTTCTTACAGGGGAAAATCACAGAATGTGCTATCTAACTACATTTTATTTCAGAAGCGGAAGTGGAATGGGGTTAGACAGTGCTTCAGATACAGAGATAAAAAAAGATGTTTTGGGGAACACAGGGATATGCTCTTAAAAGCAGCTGCATTTTTTTCCCCGGCAAGTGCGTATGCTTGTTGTAGTTGCTGGGAAAAAATGCATTTGGCTTAAGAAGTTGCAATCAGATGCTAGGTGAGTTGCCTTGCATGCTCGAAAGCATCTTTTGTCTTTACATCCAAGGCTCTGCTGATGCCAGTTGAATTGTTCTAAAAGACTGAACAACAGACTTTTATAAATTTAGCATGAATATGGCTTTTGCTGTTTCCCTATTCAGATACAAAGCAAGATTAACCGCCTGTCCACAAAGCAGCTTAAAAATATTCAGTTACTTCATTTCTAAAGGCTCATTGAGAGATTAGTGATTCCGCTCCTGGTACAATATAGATTTTTTACATTCCTTTAAAGTAAGGAATTTTCAATAGAGTTAAGAGTTAACTCAAGAGTTTATTAATCTTTAAAGCTCAGAGATGAGGTTTTCTTTCATAAAATTCTCCTCTATCGCCAGAAATGGAATTTTCTTTATCCATTTAACTTAGTGTCTTTAGCTTCATTTGATTCAATTTTATGGCATTGTCTTTTTGGACAGGTACTGAAATTATAAATAATGTGCAGGAACAAAGATATAGTGTTACAGCTTATAGGAAAATACTTTTTTTCCCAAATAAAAACATTATTTTTCCAAGTTTCAATTTTAGAGACTGAAGTGGAAGTAATTTCAAGCCAGTTGCCTAATCCTACATTGTTTATTGTTATGAACTGTTAAAATATACCTGATTATAAAAAGTATCGTCTTCTTTGGTTAGAAATAATCTCTTGAGGTAAAGTGAAAAATCTCATTGAATAGCAGCAGGAGTTGAGGCCCAATTATTCGAAGGCACATAAAGTACCGTGAACTCTTGATTTCAGGATACATGTACATGCACCATGCACATGTGAGCAAAGTAGAAAAGAACCAGAAATGCATTGATGAATAAAGGTGGTTGTATATTGTTAGCAGCAATTACTTTTCCTGATGTGTTCTGGGAAGGAATGGATGTTATGGACAATTGAATGAGAACTTCTGCTTGGAAGAATTTTTTTTAACATTGACATTTCCTCTTTTTCTGTTGGCCTGAAGCATATCAGTTGCAAATAAAAAAGAAACAAACCAAAAATTCTAATGCTCTAAAATTGTGATAAAATTGTCTTTGTAGCATATAGAGCTATGTTTACTTTCTCTATACCCAAGAAATATGCTTGTGTGTATGAATACATGAATTTCAAGATAAATTGTATCTCCTCACATAATTATTATTTTAAAATGTTTTAACTGTTTTAAATGTAATTGTTTTCTTATGGTATAAACCTGGACTTTTTTTTTTCTCTTTATTGTATTGGAGTTTTTAAACTGCAATTTGGCTTGTGTAAACTTGGAATAGTGCGTGTTTCTTTTCCATTTGCCCAGAAATGACTATCATACAGAAGTTTATACAATGTGTTTAATTTCAATTAATTGAATATATACTTTGGGAACATAACGTTTTTTATTTCATATTAATAAAAATGCATTTCAGAAAACTGTTTCTCAGGTTTGCAGTTCACTTAGCTGTATGGAAAGGCAGCACTTAAGGCATACAATTTCACTCATTGTTTTAAATTAAAAGTAATACATATATATCTGAGATGCATATTCAAAATATACAGCTCTTACTCAACCCTTACATTCTATAAAGAGGAACCCTTCACAATAAAGAGCATGGCTCAATAGCAGCACATTTAAATTTTTCTGCAAATAAATAAAAACTAGCTGTGCTCAGGCTCTATTAGTAAAGCCATACCAGAGGAGTTTGGATGAATACTCTTGACTTGAATATTAAATTCCATAAAATCCTATATAGCAATTCCGATAGTAAATGTAACTGGTTTTAAAGCATTGATAATTTTGCACGGTTTCATTCCTAGATTCTTTCTTACTCATTTACATTCCAAAATACAATAAAATTGGCTTAAGAAAAGCAATATGCCACATATTAATATGTAGAGAAATTACAGTATATTCACCAGCTTATTTATTATAAAGCCCAAGGTAACATTAACTTCCTTCTCCTTGGAATCTTTGTCTTGGACATGTTTTAGCTGCATGTTTTATTGAGATCTGCAAGGAACTCCACTTTTCAAAACATTATTAGGCCAATCATTTGGAAGCATGGTTCTCTGAAGCCATAGCTTGAGCATTAGGGTGGCTTGGCATGGCTGCTTCAAAAGCCGCTCCCTTATTGTCTGAACATGCACACACTTTCCAGGGATTGCTACTGATGGGCCATCTTGAAGAGGATGTGGACTCCTGATGCCTTAAGCAGTGGCTTTAGAGCAGGGGTGTCAAACTGCCGGCCCGCGGGCCGGTTTCATCATACCGGAGCCGCGCCCATCCCATTGCCGGCAATGGCAAAAAAGCTCTGATACGTCGCGTGACGTCACAAGTTTGACATGTCTGCTTTAGAGAGTGCTTTGGTTGTTTGTTTCTGCAGATGAGTCACATAGCCCATGTCATTATGTCCCACATTAGACAAAATAATTTCTCTTATTTACCACCAAAAAACCTTGGTAAATTTGCAAAATTATTAAAAGAACTGGAGAGAGAGAGAGATTTTATTTCCTTTTTAAAACAGAAGCAAGTTTTTAAAAGGCTGCACTTTTTGTCAATATAGAATCTTGAAAGGATCCTGAAGTGCTGAAACTTCTTCTACAATTATATCCTGAGGTACCTGAGATAAGGGTCAACCAGACTCCAGTTTTTGAACCTGAGGAATGATTTTAGCCCAGAACTAAAATATCCTATGGTTCATTGAAATCTAAGCGGAGCTATTTCAAACATTTTAAATGGTCAGATTCCTTGGTAATGCTTAAAAGGAATCTGAAATAAACACTGGCATTTACTGTAAAAATATTTACTTTCAATAAAGAAAGGCACTGTCTTATCTCATATACAGTATATTGCATAGATTGCCACCAACACAGGAGTGCAAAGCACAGAGCTAAATAATATATACTTGGAGAAACAATGTCCGTGTGACCAGGCAAAATGATTTTGCAGCAGTATATATTAAAACACCACTTGTAAAACGTGCCAGTAAAAGCAGTTCAATGATCTATGCTGGTCCTGGCTGTTATAAATAAAGCACATGTTCTTCCTTTAAACAAGTGTTTTCTGATCAAATAATTGTAAATCAAAGCGTACCCAAACTTCCCCTGTTGGTACTTCATGCAGTAGTAAACGTTTAGCTGTAGGTCCCTTGTTTTCTTGCTCTGTCCTGATTTTGGCTACAGGAACTTCAGTGCGACCCAAAAACTCTGCGTAACAATAACAAAATTCCTAAGTCAGATCATCAAATGTGAAACAAAGAGAGATCTTAAAGAAATAAAGAAAATTAAGCATTATCAGCATATTCTGGACAATCAAAATCAGTAGAAGTCTGGCTACTTTTTGAGCTTATGCTTCTGTTTTCTATTCACTAAAATTGGAAGGAAATTTTAAATATGGTCAAACACAGAATTCCACACATACCATCAGGTGAAAACTGATCCCTGTCAAACATGGTGATGCACAATACATCTTGATAAAGATCTTTGATGAAGAATTGACAGTTAAAGTTCCATTTGGGGTTCAAGGTATCTGGCAGTGTCCTGGTAGTGTAGCTTTGAGATCCCATGCTAACTTCACAATATGGATTGCTTTTTCCTTAATTCAAAACAGAAGTGCATCTATTACATATTAAATTTATATGCCACCCATCTCATCTGCAAAGCAACTCTGGTGGATTACAATTAAAATAATATAAAAATATTAAGAACCTTAAATATGGAAATAAAAACCAAAGGTAAGATTGGTACAGCATTGGCACCATGCAGGTAGTCTTCGACTTATAACAGTTCATTTAATGACTGTTCAAAGTTACAAGAGCACTGAAAAAAGTGACATGACCATTTTTCATACATAGTCACGTGATCAAAATTCTGATGCTTGGCAACTGACTCGTGACAGTTGCAGTGTCTTGGAGTCATGTGATCCCCTTTTGCAACCTTGTGACAAGCAAAGTCAATGGGGAAGTCAGATTCACTTTGCAACCATGTTACTAACTTACCGGTAACTACAGTTAAGGAGAAACTTCCTGACAGTGAGAACAATTAACCAATGGAACAACCTGTCTCCAGAAGCGTGAATGCTCCAACACTGGAAGTTTTTAAGAAGAGACTGGACAGCCATTTGTCTGAAATGGTGTAGTGTTCCTGCCTGAGCAAGGGGTTGGACTCGATGACCTCCAAGGTCCCTTCCAACTTTATTATTATTATTATTATTATTATTATTATTATTATTATTATTATTATTAACTTAACAATTGTGGCAAGAAAGGTCATAAAATGGGAGAAAACTTATTTGACAATTGTCTCACTTAGCAACAAATTTTGGGCTCAATTATGGTTGTAAGTCAAGGACTACCTGTACTTATTAATCCACTAGCCACTCCAACACAAAGCACCAAGCCAATTTGGCACAGCCAGGTTTTAACGTCTTCCAGAAGGTTGAAAGTGTGCATTCACAAGTTTCTCCAAAGAATAACTTTATGGTTTTAATATCTGGTTATAAATGTCTGTGATTATCTTCAACAAGTTTGTTTATAATGTCCCATCTTTTTTATTTATATATTCACCATACTATGCAGGAAAAAAGATCTCCCCTGCAAGGCTACATATTATATTTTGGAAATACGTGCTTGGCAACCTCTACTTCTAACAGCAAATCTCCCCTCAGTTTAAACTATTTGGCCAGATAGTTGACAACCCATCCCTAAATTATTACCATTAGGTTTACAGGCTTTTAATTCTGTTGCTTCAATCACATGCACCATCAAACGTCCTATTCCTGAGCTTTTTTGTGATCGAGCTGAAAAAGAAATAAAAATGAGATGTGAAAAAAAGATTTCAGAACAAGCTATCTATTGGCAGATTTACACAAAAGTTATTTCTGTAGTTTGCAAGTTGATCAATTTGTTCTGGATCGTTTCATGAATACTAGGTACCACCCAACAGCAACCAGGTTGTCAATTGGGTATTTATGCAGATCTATGAAATTTCTGGAGCTGATACACAATTAGTGTTTTTCTGTTAACACATCTGCACCTAAATAAAAAGGAATCTAGCACATATTTAGAGATGGTACTTATTTTAAAACCCAAAGTATCTTTGATGAATACTGCTGTCTTAGAATGTTTGAAAATGTCGCCTGGCTAGCAAAAGATATCACTTGACATAAATGCCAAGTCCTTCCAATCTCACAAAAACACGAAAATAGCTGTTACTAAAAGTTACAATTGCAGATCAGCACCTTGGTAAGCCTTTTCATGTTTCTTTTTTTCAGTTTCAATATATTGTTCTGAAGCTCCTTTAATTTTCTGGACCCAGGCAGTTCTACAAGAATGAATAATTTTGTTAAAGGACAATAATATAGACAAATTCCTTGTGAGTCTAATCACATTTGGCCAATAAAGTCCTATTCTATTCTATTCTATTCTATTCCATTCTATTCTATAACAAAAACAACTTATTAAGAGATTTGGCTTCATCTGAACACAAATCTGTGAATGTCACATCTAATTTCATTCTTAATTATTGGCTCCAGAAAACATATGAAATATCCTTGATAACCAAGAAATATTTAAATATGGGATATACAGTACATATATAGACGTACTGATCAATATGTTTGTACCCATATAATAAAACAGCAAATTTCTCTATTCTCAGTACCATTTATTATAGGAATGTTAAAGTTGCAACAGATTATTTAAGGGATTTTCTATGCCAGTTTCCCTTAGGACAATTAGTATTCTCTTTACTGTCATTATATCTGGTTTTTGGGTTCCTGCTCCTTAGAAAGATGATGAATCCTGTAATTTCTGCAGTTCGTGAAATTACCAATCTATTTTTTTATGGATTAAGATACAAAGTAGAGGTATGCAACCAAATTGTGATACACCCTGCGTTTGAACATTTTTTTCAATGATTTTCTCACATTCCAGAAGTAGCCTTTTGGATATGAATAAAAGATTTACTACAATCAAAGAATCCAAGAATAAACATAATAACAAAAAAGAAAACAGCATACATTTTGACATTTCATGGGAAAGAAATTCAGAAGATGTTTTATTTCTTTTTTTAGGCAAGAATTTGGAGGCTCACCTCTCATTAATATTGTCTGTTTTCAGTATGTAGACTCGGTCAATATGGGAGATGTGGAAAATTGGTTCATCGCTAGAAGGGTCAGTTGGCAATTTCACTAGGACTTCATTAAGAAAAATAGGCTGGAAGAAACAGATTTTGATTCAATTAAGTTCAAACATTTCAGCAAAAAGTGACAGGCTGATTAGCAAAGAGGGACTGAGAAATTTGCTAATCTGAAGAGGCTTGTTTTGAATAAAATTTTGCATTGAAATTAGGAATAATTTTGAAAGAAGAGTCAACTATTCATGCAAATAACATTTAATTCAGTGCACTGATCTTTAAAAAAACAAGTTGAAGGAATTTGATAACCACAATCACTGCACCTATTATTTTCTTTTTAAATCTGGCAGACATTCTTTTTGAAGAACCTATTGTCTCCATTAATTACATTTTATTTTGTTAAAAAATAAACCTGTTAAATATATCTCTATACATCTTAAGCAAGGGGAATAAGTTTAATTTTCACATCAAGGATTCTCTTGGAACTCCTTCCCAAGAGTATGTTTGTTGTTTCATATTTGGCAAGGAATGATGACTTTCTTAGATGAGCCAAAGGAATAGATAGGCTTCTCCAGAGAGCTCAACACAGTTGAATAGCCATAGCAAACATAATCAAGGTGCTCATAGCCAAGAAAAAACATGTCTCCAAAAACTCACACAAATTTGAATGCACAAAAGTAAATTTAACAGCATAAAAATAAAACTCAGCATGACTTCCATAAGCAGTATGGCTATTTAGCTTATCTTAAAAAGAAAAGACAAGTGTTTATCTAACTGTATGCTATTGAAATTAGGCTAAATAATTATTTTGAACGGAGCAACCTTGTTCTTAAAAAAAATGCCCACAATTAAGGTGCACTGAACCTCTAACCAATGCTTTGGCAATTTAGAAAAAATAAATCCCATTGGTACAGATAGTGACTTTATCTACAATCTGAGTTTTGATCAGTAAATTCAAAACTATTATTGCTAATTAGGTGACATAATACAATTAACACCAACTGTTGGAAGAAGAGAGTTACAGGTTAAAGAACAACGTATTTCTATTCCTAGAAATCCCATTTCCTCCCAGTTGAAAGTATCTGAGATTCTTGAATTCACTCACCACTTTGTACATTTTAAACTGAGAATTTGATTTGGGGCTGAACAGTTTATCTGATCCTGTAGAGACGAACTGCTTCACCATGTAGGTGAGAAGCAGGAAGTCACTGAAGAGAAAACCATAGAGTTCTTTGTTGCTCTTTGTCTTATAAAGCTTGCCACTGTGCAGAAGTTTCCGTGGTCCCAAACAGTTGGTCAGTGAGTTGAAAATCAGTTGCTAGAAGAAAAAGAAAAATGATGCAAAACACACTGATTTTCTTCACCATATAAATTATTCCACTTAAAAACCATGTTGCTGATATCATGTCTTATTATAATTAGTCCCAGCAAATGATTCAGTTTTCTCAATTTGGAATTTGACATTTTTACATACTTAGTGTCTATGAAATGCTTTTAATAGGCTTTGAATTTTGCTTTTGTGTTCTGACTGGCTTATAAAGGTATAATGATACAACATTCCTCTGAACATTTCTGAAAATTGAACTAATTTTAGAAGATGTAAAACATCTTTTCTGTAGCCTTGGGTTTTGTAGTAAGAGATTTCATTTATTTTAACATCTTTTATTTTCTTAAAAGGCATGCTTCTGATTCATCTAGATACAAACCAATGTCTCCGAATGTATAACTATTTGCAGAAAGCTATATTATGGAGCTTGCATATCCTGGGGCAGTGCCTGGCCCCAGTATCTCTTGCCATTGTTATGCAGTTGTTCCAACAGTTCATTAAATTAGTGTCTTTTCCCTTTTTTAATTTTCCCCCCCGTATATCTGGTAAACTCTCTCTACATGCATTGCCTATATAAAGCATGTATGAATGTATTGGGTATGTCATTCAGATATTATCTAAGGCTTTACGAGGTATTATCTAACATTTCTTCCTTGCCATAAGAACTGTGCAATAGCAAATTTCAGTTGCATTTCTTGACCACTGAGCCCAAGCCCCAGTTACCTCAACAAGTCCTTCACACTGGACATGGGACTGTATCCATTCAAGCCTGTCTGAATTCTCCTTCTCACGCACCCCCTCATTCACCTGGGAACACAATTCTTCAGCACGCTCGAGAGCCTGCTTCAGATTATTGCGATCGGGGTGAGTTTCAGGGGTATTCTCCAGAATCTGGTTGCAGACAAAGACAAATTAACTCATGGCAATATTGCGGAAAAACTCGTTCTTATATTTTCATAAATGTATTTGCAGTGCTGTACTCACCCTTCCACCTGAGGCAACTTATTCAGAGATTCAGAAAAAGAGCAACCGGGTACTCACACTCTTGATGAGCAGAGGGTAGCGAGTAATTCTCTGCATCGGTTTCAAGAGGAAGCTGGACAGGGGCATGCCTTTACAGCGGGAATCTGAGGCCAATTTCTACATGTTTAAATAAATTTGAAACAGAAACATACATTATAGAAATATAGAACACCTCTAGCTTCTGAAAAGTTTATAACAGTTGATTTTCTATGTTTCATAACCAATCACTTGTGCCTCTAACTTACAGAAGAGGGTATCTTAACTTCTGAAAGCTACAATAAAGCTACATTTCAGGAAATCTGAGAGTTGGGCAAAATACCAGCCTTATATTTAATATTGAGATTTTTCATTTTAAATGTAACAAAGGGCACATTGGATAGGTTTTCATAATTCAGAAGCTACATGATTCCCCAGCAGACATATGCACACAAAGAGATAAATAATAGGATAAAAGTGGGAGTCATGTCAACTGGTTACTAGATAGACAAAAGCTGAAAATGCACAGAATAAAACTACATAATGAGATCTGTAACCTAACTGAAGGAGTCTCAGTTAATTTAACATTTCCTTCAATGTGCTAAGTATTTTTATAAAGGAAATCTAGAAAGAAGGAAGGCAGAGAACTGTTAATTGATCTAAAACTTGGCCCCATCCCAGCACCATCCACAGGTTATGTATATATGTTAAACCTGCAACATGTACATGCATCAATATGGTACTTACAAATTTTGTCCTTCCCCTAATCACTACGCACCATCCTTGTTAAACTGCTAACAGCTCTACATTTTTACAGTGAAAAAGAAAAATGGCTTGAGTCCAATAGACATCGGAGTAATTTAAAATGTAATGCTATAACAAGTTGTACATGCTGTTGTGACTTTCAGTAGGGTCATTTTTGCTTTTTGGAGAGGGAGTCAAGGCTTCCTTCTATTCAAGACATTACTCGTAGAAAAAGTTACTGTCACACTTGCACATGCAATCCAAAGCGAAAGAGGAAAGATAGTGAAGAGAGAGTTACTGAATAATAGCCTACTTTCAAAAAATCTTTGAACTCTGGCTCTTCATCTGTTTTTTGCTGTAACAAGGCAGCTCCATTAAGCTGGCAGCTACAGAATCGAATATAGGCTTGCATATGAGATAACTGAGCAGCCAAGATGTCACCAATCATCTGAACTGGCATCTTTTCCCCCCCAGTCTTCTTACGCACCCGAAGGGCTCTGAAAAAACAACAACACATAAATATCCATGGGAAAACAGACTGACTCCAGAAATTCAAGAAAGATGAAGCTATTGAAGGCCTTGCAAACAAGTCTTTCTGTTTCACAGGACACTGTGGGAAATAGAAGAGATGTCAATCTGGCAGGCACATCAAATATGTAAAATTCAGTCTCTCAGAATTTGAAAACTTTGCAAAATGGCTCCCTTGGTGGGCTTGACAATACACAAAGCTTTTACTTAGAAGGAACACCGACAAGGTTGCTTTCCAGCACCTCCTGAAGCCTTCTAGGGCATTACTAATCAATCAATCAATTCCATCACTCACTCAATCTTATTTACAACCCAAAGGCCCCCAAAATAAGTTACAAATACAATCTAAATTTAGCATTAGATGTCAATTATCTCATCTTATCTCAATGTCCAAACAAAACACTGGATTATAGTCCTCTTATCATTTTTATCTTGTAATAATGCTTCTGGAATCTTTGAGCCCCAGAAAAATTCGGAGAAAATTATGCTTGAGGCTCACACTGCTTCAGTATTTATTTAATTCAAAAAAATCTAAATCACTAAGATAAAATCAGGGAATGAAGCCTGAAATGTGCCAAAGGAGGTATCTATGAGCACCCTGGAATTCCCAGTGCCTCAACTAGGTGCACAGGCTGTAGCTTACCCTACATATGATAAGCATCTCTTCCTAGTTTAGGAGCTCTCAAATAATGGAAAGGAGTGAAAGAGGCAATCAAAAGGAGGGTCCAGTAAGTGGAACCCTGGAACTGCAATCAAATGAGACTGTGAATGCCAGACTAGCAATCTTCTCTCTTCAAACTCATATCAAATCAGGCAATAGATGGCAGACAAAACAATGGAATAACCTTAAAGAAGAAAGCAAAGACACATGGTCTTTATATTTTGGAGAGAACTTAAAAACTGTGCAAAGACGTACTAATAGGAATTGGGGTGGTGATGTAAACTTAAATATATGATTGCTGTTTTGGATGGAGGCATTTAACAGCACAAAAATTAACAAAACAGTAACAGCACTTACTTCAATAACTTTGTATTACACAATATGAGCTCTTTCCAGTTGACGAAGATTAATCCCATTTCAGCTTCTGAGAGACAGCCTGCTTCAGTCATTTGTTTCTGGAAAACCTACAGGAAGCAGGAAGAACAATATTAGTGATAGTTGTGACTCAAATCACAATTGACTCAATAAGTAATAATTTATGAAATATTTTATTTATTCTTTCTATTGCACATAAGGCTGTTGTCCGATGATGAATAATTTTTTTCAAAATATTTGACATTGTTGAATTAGAGTGCAAAGAGGACTATTGTCTTACTCTTCATTTTATCAATTTTGAGAAAGAACACAACTATAGATTCTTTCTCTGTAACACTGTGATAAGAGATACTAAACTCCTTTCTGGAAACTCCATTTTCTATTTCACCTGATGAAAAAAATGGGTTCTTTCAAATTTGTATATTTTTCCTCTGGGAGATGAACTGATTTTAGCCATTCTTCCACCAAGGGGATCTAACATTCTTTCGTGATGTGACTGAATCATTATATTTCCAACAAAATTCAGAAAATGAACTATATATTTTAGCAAATGTATATGCCAGCGAATAAAATACATTAATTTTCTCCAAGTATGATATGTAAATTTGATCCTCCTTCCATTAAAATTCCCATTCTTGCATATCTATCATTATATCTAATTTTGCATTCATATACAATCTTTAACTTGTTCAATTTCTGAGTCATATTTCAGCAACCATAGATAAGACCCAGCATTGCTCCAAATTTAATATTGTAAGGCCTTCAAATTCAATCAAATCTTTAAGTATTTGTTTTGTTTCTGCAGTTCTTTTAATACAATACTATTCATTTGCAATATTAAAACCAATGTGGCAGGTGAGGCTATTACAAGAATAAAAGTCTTAAGAGATTGTCCTACTAATAACATCTTTAGTTATATAAATAATTTCTCTCCTCTGTGCTTTCTTTCTGCTTTCCTTTTCATAAAAATAAACATTTAAGAACAAAGCAAGAGATAACAAATCTGGACCAATTCTTTTAGTATTTATCCAAACACTTAGTATGTTGCTCTTTATTATTGTAAGCTGCTTGTTTCTGCTTCAATCAATTCAGAGATATTTATGCATACCATCTAGAAGTGCAGAGATGTCCAGTCCATAACAAGATACAATTCAGTCTGTAATCTTCCTTAGACAACTACCTTGATAATAAAATTAAAGTTTGGAGTTGCCAGTTGTCTTTTCATTTCCTATATAATCTTGAATTTAATCCTTGGCTTGTTTTTAAAACCCATATATCATGTGATAGTTGTTTATACCAGTCATTGAATGTCTTGTTTTCAATATTTATTTAAATATTTTAAGGGAGACATCATAACTAAGATAATCACATTTTGAACGAGAGATAATTCTCTCTGGAGTCCTCAGTGCCCTCTGACTTGATATTTGCTTGCAGATGTTTCATTACCAGACCAAGTAACATCATCAAGGCTAGTGAGTGTGGGTTTGCTCTCTGTTTATATATAGTAGTTTGTCCTGCCAGTGATGTTGGGGATATGGCTTTCTTCTTGGTAGTTCCTTGTTTAGACTATTGTTTTCTGCTAGATTGTTTGTCTGGTATTAATCCCTGTTTATCAGGGTGTTGGCTCGATGGAAGGATGCATTATGGTCTTTTTTTCCCTTATCTTTTTTATTATATCTTTTGAATGGTCTATAAATGTGGTTTGTATCTATGTATTTATTGATGGCTGATTTGTCTGAATGCCAAACAAAGGATTACATTGCATATTCAAAAGATTAATGTGTGTTTTTACTGTATAAGGTATGGAAATCCTCATAGCTGATGATCCTTACAATACTGTACTGAATGATGAGGTATGCATGCTATTTTATTTATACTATGTGGTCAGTTTTCACCAGACTTCTCAATTTAATTAAAAGCAATGAAAACATTTTTTTATAGTAACAACTTGTCTTTCCAAACAGATCTTACCTCTAAGACAAGTTGAAGGTCATCCATGTATTTTTCTTCTGTCTGGATCAACTCATGTATATAACCCTGCTTCTTCCTTTCCATGGGTTGCATTGTGTCAAGGCTCTGAAGATCAGCACACCCTGTAAAATTAAGCGTTCTTAATCATTTTGAGCTTATTTGTTCAATACCAAATAGGCAATGAAAATTCTCACAATGACTTTTTAATTAATAAAAAAACCAAAACTGACTCTGAAATAGGTGTATAGAACACACACACACACACACACTGTGATTTCTGCATGATTCTCATCAAGGGCATAATTTCTAGTTCTCATAATTAGGAGTTTTGAGTTTTGCTAAATTTATTTTATTGTCTGCTTCTGAGCTGTATCTGAATCAATATAAATTGTACATTTAAAAAAATCCAAATATTTTTTTAAAAAGCCTGTAAAATTTTAGAGACATCACAAAAATTACAATTACAAATTCTTAGAAGTGATAAATGGCAGTTTTATGCCAATATGGAGAGTTATCAAACACAAAAATATATCAGAAAAATATGTCAGAAAAAACAATGATGGTCTGTACTGGATAAAGTATATATATCTATATAGATATAGCTATATAGATATAAAGGATATCTCTTCCTCTCTCTCTCCCTCCCTCCCTCCCCCCCTTTATATATATATAAAATCATTGATGAAAAACACCAGCTTACACGGTTCTCCCCCACTTTTATATTCACAACAAAGCTAGGAGAAATTCAGGTGAGTTAGGGTCACAATGAGCTTCACTGCAAAGCGTAAATTCGAATCCAACCTACCCATTCTAAATCCAGGACAAAATGTAATGCTAATTTCTCTGAGCAATATAAAGGCTGAGATGATTTCCTAAGCATAAGGACCTTTAAAACTGACATCTCTTTAACTACGGAATTCCACAACATTCAGCTTTATTAGCCACAACATTAGACTCTGGTTGAGAATTATGGAATACCACCATCAATCCAAGTGACTAGAGAAATCTCTTTGGGAATTAGCAAATGGACAAAAGGATGTAGGCAGGTCCTTTCAACCTATGCTACTGGCCTCCCTAATAACATGATTAGTTGAGAAAGTAGCACTTAGAAGTGAGAAATGGAACAATTTAAGAAGGAAACTGGGAATCTATAGCACCTGCTAAGAAAGCAAAAATCAGCAATGCATACCATGTTAAAAGACTTGGCTTTGCAGAGATATATGTTTATATTATAAATTTAAAACTAACCTTGATCTTGTTTAGAGTTCAATTTTTACAAGTTTGATCCCAGTTTAATAGTAATAACTTCGTTCTTACATTCTGGGAATTCTCTTTTGATGAGAATTTGAAACTTGTGCTGAATGAACAGGTTTAACCTGATACCAACAATTGATTAAAGTATGTTCTACCTATGTGATCATTTTCCAGAAGATTTTAGTGATTAGTTGGTTACATAATGAAGGAACAAAATAAATGAACAACTTATGAAAACTTGAGAACGGTTAACTGTGCTAAAAAAAAATCACACATCAATAAGTATATTCTCTGTGTGTCTCTTTAATAAAATATTTTGCATAGTTATTTCCAGTGTTCAAAAAACAATGCTCATGCACAGCATAGGCTGTGTTTGTATAGCAAAACACTGATCATTATTCCATTGCTTTAATACTAGAAAGCCTCAAAATACAAATTTCAAAACAGCACACAGCATAGTGATATTTAAGAAACAAACATAATTAATGACAAGAAAGCATTTTGCGGTAGCAGCCCAAAACACCACTACAGCTAGAAGTCTGTCAGCACTGATTGACTTTAATAGAAAAATAATACAAGTCATAGGACATATTTTAGCAAATACTGGTTTGTGCGTTTCTGGCAAATCATACTAGGTAGTACAATTCATTTGTAAAAATAAAAATCAAGAATTCCAGAACTTTTACATTCTTTTTGCAAACATAAAAAATAGTATTGTCACAGCTATTTCATACCCCATTCAAAATGTCAAGAAATCACAAGCTTTTCTCTAAAACTTTTAAGAAAGCTGAATATTAATTTCTAAGTTAGGAAATCCCTCATTCATATTTGGAGAAATGCCTATTTCCATTTCTGGAATGGGGACAAATAACATGTTGAAGCAAGTTGCTTCATATACTATAATACTGTAATCTATTTTTGATCATATTAAAAACCTTAGCCATCCAAATGAAAAAAAATAAAGCTATTCATCTCTAAAGCTAAAGAACATAATTTATACAGCCATCTCTGAATGCTTAAAAACTTGTACTCAACTATCATAAAAGTCTCCTTTTTATTTTGAAAATCCATGTGATTTTTGTAAATTGGGATGTTGAAATTAGGAGAAGAAAATTGCCCCTATTTTATGTGAATTTTGTTTTGGGTAAGTTTTTCAGAATCCTAATTTGGAACCCTACTCAAATAATTTGTTGCATAATACATTTTTTAAATTACTCCTTTCTGAAATTTTAGCAGGTACAACTCACTATAATGATACACACATTTTATGCATGTTTCTGAATTATTATTTAGTTATGCTATGATCTGCTTGGGCCTAGCTTTCTTAACATATTAATATACTAGAAGTAAAATTATAAATAAAGAAATGAATTATCAGCAAAACAGAATACTAATAATAAATAATAGCAAAATACTTAGTAGCAAAATCCTAAACATATCAAACATTCTTAATGCCAATTAATAGTTTGTACCTCTTTTGACCTATATCGTACCACTTACATTAAAATATGTTTTATCTCTGAAAATTCTTAATTACAGACCGTCATAAACATTTTTTTTTTTACTCACCCTACTGGTACAGTAAACATTTGTTCATCCTAACAATAGTGCTAAATTAAGTCCAACAAACGAAAGCCAACACTCTTTACTCTTTTACTAGGAAATCAATCAAACATTATTTGAACTCTCAAATATGGTCAAATTCATTTCTGCAACCGATAAGCAGGAATGAACAATCTGCAGTCCCCAGTACCCTGAGATTATAGATAGTCCTCAACTTACAACAGTTCATTTGAAGTTACAACAGCAGTGAAAAAGTAAGTTATGACCATTTTTCACACTTACGACCTTTGCAGCATCTCCATGGTCATATGATCAAAATTCAGCCGCTTGGCAACCGACTCATATTTATGTTGGTTACAGTGTTCTGAGGTCATGTGATCCCCTTTTGTGACTTTCTGACAAGCCAAGTCAATGGGGAGGACAGATTCACTTAACAACCATGTTACTAACTTAACAACTGCAGTGATTCACTTAACAATTGTGGCAAAAAAAGGTTTTAAAATGGGGCAAAATTCACTCAACAACAGTCTCACTTAGGAATAGAAATTTTGGGCTCAATTGTGGCCGTAAGTTGAGGACTACCTGTATCCAACTGAAATTTAATGGCAAAATAGTTGAGGTTCAGCAGCACAATTTCTATTCCCACTCCTTCCCATTAGCACAGAAAGCACAATTCTTCCACTTCTGCCATTAAAACTCCTCAGGCCTCAGAAACGGCCTGAAATTGTACCAAGTTTAGCTTTAGGTTGAAGACTTTTTAAAACGAGCAATAAGCCTCTCAAAGGCTTTCTGCTCACATTCTCATCTTTAAAAAGCCACATAACCAACCAACCAACCAAAACTACAAAAACTCTCAGTTCCTGTATTTATTGGCAGAGAAGTCCTGCCTAGAAGTAAGGAGAAATTTTCTGACAGTGAGAACAATTAAACAATGTAATAACTTGCCTTCTGGGGCTGTGGATGTTCTATCATTGGAGGTTTTCAAAAATAGACTGGACAGCCATTTGATCAGGATGGTATAACCATTTGAACAGGGAATTGGATGGGAAGACCTCTGAGGTCTCTTCCAGGTATATGATTCCATATTTTACAATCTTGGGAGTTCTTACATGGCAAAAACCTGAGGTTTACCAGGAGAATGTTATACTTTCATCAACTTAATATTTGCAGATCTGCTATTAATAATAATATAGAGATAAGATAAATATTTATTTATGACTTGATGTAAGTACCCAACTGTTCTATTTGGCATGAAAGACCCTCCTCCAAAATCCACTACTTTGTATTAGTAATAAAGGCATCAGTGATTTGATAAGCCTGTTATATTCATTTAAATAGCAATTTTGAACACATTTATCGGAGAGTAAGCACCATTGAAGATAATAGCTTATTTCATACTAAATAGGCACAGACTGTACTGTGAGGCAATGGTGCTAAAGATACTTTGTAGAAAATAAATCACTCTGAATGGGACTTCATTAAAGGATTTTAGATTACAACCTTAGAATACTGAAAATAAATGGATATGCACTCCAAATTAAATATCTAATTTTGTACAGAAGAAATGGGGAATTTCTTTCAGTCTAAGGATTGAACTAATTTTCATACTGGGGTCCGTAAACCAACAGGGTGGGGGTTGGGTCACTCCACACAGGCCCAAATCCCACCTAACATATGCTCACGTGGAAATATACTTCCTGAAATAAGGCAACTAACTCTGACTGCAACACAGCACAACTATGCAAGATGTCTAGAACAGTTTAGCAGGTGGAACGAGACTACATTTACAAATAGATATGGACTACATCGGGGTCCCCAATCCCCAGTCTCTGGATTAGCACCGGGTCGTGGCATGCCAGCAATCGAGCCACGCAAACAAGCGAAGCCCATCCATGGGATGCAGGCAGTGGTTGAAACCACGCCCCCTCAGGTCTGTGGAAAAACCTCTCTCCACGGAACCAGTCCCTGTTGCCCAAAAGGTTGGGGGCCGCTGGACTACATTGGGGGGGGGGGAAGCTTGATTGTGTGGCCAAAAAGGCACCATGAAGTGAGGTGATAATGGTGAATGTTAGCAAATGTTAAATTGGTACAGAATGAGAAAAAAAATTAACCAAAAGATTTGGTTAAACGTAAAAAATGGTTTGTTAACTAAGAAATTCCCAGAAAGCCATGCAGCATTAAAAAATATTTAATAAAGTTGGGAATTTAAAAAATGCTTTAATTTTTTTAAAAAATGTATCTGTAAAAGTGGGGCAGGGGAGGGGAACTGTAGAGTTTATTTAGCTTCTTGGTCTCCTCAATATCA